AAAATTTTTATTTATTTAATTAAATGAGTTTTCTATTTAATTTATATTTTTAAATACATCGAAATTGAAATTTGAACCATACTAAATGTGCTTTTCTATTATTTTGGTTCAGGGTAGTATCTAGTCGAGCACTCTCGACTAGAGTTTTCTTACTTGTTTTATTATAAATTTACTCTACATATATGTACATTTATTTATTGTATATATCTACTTTTTGTTTTACTTATAAACGGATTTTTGCCCAGCCACATTTGCCCAGTGAATTGTGTGTCTGATGTGAGTTGTTAACATGACAGAACCAACTCCATGACTGAGGCGCACAAACACTAAGCGCTCGGCTCTTATCTCCCGGAGTCGACGGCCACGCACCATGTACAAAATACAAAATACAACAACAACAAAAAGAGTCAACTACAACCGGCGAGAGCGCTGCGCTCTTTGAGTAGTTTTTCCAAGTAATTGCCTCAGTTAATTAAGTTTTCCGTACGGGCAAAGAGACAACAGAAGCAACAAACACAACGATTCCCAGTGTCTCAGTGTCTCAATTGAGCTCAATTGTTCGCAGCGCCCAAGAGTTGATGTTGATGATTATGATGATGATGATGATGATGATATTCTCTATAGCTACATCGATCCTATTCAATTGGTTCTTTCAACATTTGACTTGCCACAAGGCCACAAAATTGTGACAATCCGTACGGAGTAGAGTCCATGCCTTGCATTGACCTAGAATTCTCAGTTTCTAATGCCATATCAGCTATCTATCGACTGCCTACATTACGTACGAACGTACATATCTGGTAGGCGTTTATCTGCTACAGATACATAGAACTGTTGTTGCTGTTGTTGTTGTTGTTGCTCTGTATTGCCAGCCTTATCAGCCGCACTGTGATATAGATGACAAAATTTGTTTGGCTTGTGCTAGGTGTATGGGTGTTGTTCTATAGCCATAGCCACCGACCCAGGCACACACACTCATTGCCCTCAGATAACACTGTAAATTTATAGAGCCGATGAAAATATTGGGAAATACATATACAAAGTAGCTTACTTGCCCACTGAAGGCGCGTCGTAATGCAGCAGTTCGTTTAGTCATTGAACTAAGTGGCTGGGCAAGTGTGAAGGTCGCTTACTTATGTTAGTATGTGTGTGCGTGTGTGTGTGAGTGTGTGTGTGCCTGAGTGTGTGCAAGAAGCGAAATGCATGTGAGGAGCGCATGTGGAATTTATATGGTCGGCAGGTGCACTATATGCTGTACAAAATGCATGTGGAATGTATGTGGAACGTATTTGGTATGTATGCGAAAAACATGTATAGGATATATATAATGCATGTGTAAGGTGTGATATGTATGTGGAACGCATGTGGAACGTAGGTCGTTTATATAAATATGCCACATAAAATAAATATATGTGGAACGTATTTGGAATGTATAAGCGCATGTGGAATGTAAGTGGGCTAAAATATGCTATGTAAAATGCATTTATATTGTGTTAAATGTGTGCAATGAACGTGGAACGTATTGCTCCATATTGCCATATATATGTATGCTATATTAAAAGCATGTGGAATATATGTATATATCATGAATGTGAAACGTATTGCTCATGTAGCCATATATGTGTATGCTATATGAAAAGCATGTGGAATATATGTAT